GTTGTGCCTGTGACAGACACAAGAGCAACTTCATCTGCACCTCCTACAGCTTCAGTGCCACCAGCTCCAGCATCTACTCCACCAGCTCCAACTTCATCAACTGATTCCTTCGTCCTTGGAGTCATATCTACACCACCACGTCAAGACCAAGGCTGAGAGACGACATAGTACTATGCATTTTCTAGGAACTTTTTGGTAACTTGTTGCCAAAGGGGGGGAAATGTATAGATCATAGGCTTCGAGAGAGAGAGAGAGAGAGTTTTCTTTTGTTCTCTCTTGTCTTTGTGGTTGAACTTTGTTTGCTTTCGCTTGTTTGAGATACCTTATTGCCTATGTGATACTATGATGATCATGTGTTTGATCATATGCTACATTAATGCTTGTTGGATGCTATTATCCTTTTATCTCTATTTGATCATTCACTTTGCTTGGTGATGAGTGCATGTATTTTGATTATTATCATTTTGAGCGCTCCACCAAGATGTATGTGACATGGGAGAGTAACTCACGAACCTAACTCTATGTGCATTTGCAGTCCAAAGCAAATATTAAACTATGCACAAACTTAGGGGGAGCTTTCACATTTCACATACTTCTCAAAGCGACAATGTTTTTCAATCTTATTATCATTTGTCGAAGCTTTGATCTATATGTTGTCATCAATTACCAAAAAGGGGGAGATTGAAAGTGCAACTATCCCTAGGTGGTTTTGATAATTCCTAACAACATATAGCTCATTGAGCTAATACTATTCCAAGATAAATATTTCAAGAAAGCTCAATGAATGGCATGGCATGGATGATAAAAGTGGACCCCTCAAAATGCTTAGGATAAAAGGATTGGCTCAAGCTTCGAGCTCAAGACTCTATATTTTATATTTTAGTGATCCAAGATCACATTGAGTCTATAGGAAAAGCCAATACTATCAAGGAGGGATGAGGTGTTGCTTAATGAGGTTCTTGCTTCATAGTGCTTAGTGATATGCTCCAAAACCCTCAACTACTTCCCCACATCCACATATGACCTAAACCTAAAGTCCAACTCGGCCCCACTGATTCTTTCTATCCGGCGCCACCGAGTTTAGATGTCATAGCCACTTCCACAAACCCTAGGCAAATCGGTCCCACCGATAGGGATCTCGGTCTCACCGAGATGGGATTGTAATCTCTCTATTTCCCTTTGTAATGTTTCGGTACCACCGAGATGAGCGATCGATCCCACCGAGATTGTAATGTAAACTCTCTATTTCCCTTTCGTAACATGTCGGTCCCACCGAAGTGAGCGAATCGGTCCCACCGAGTTTACCTGACCAACTCTCTGGTTAGCTTATTACCAAAATCGGTCTCACCGAGTTTGTGCAATCGGTCTCACCGAGATTACGTTATGCCCTAACCCTAACCATATCGGTCCTACCGAGTTGCATGTCGGTCCCACCGAAAACCCTAACGGTCACTAAGTTTACTGAATCGGTCTGACCGAGTTTGTTGATTCGGTTCCACCGAGATTGGTAAATTGTGTGTAACGGTTAGATTTTGTGTGGAGGCTATAAATACCCCTCCACCTCTTCTTCATTCATGGAGAGAGCCATCAGAACAAACCTACAGTTCCAACTTACCATTTCTGAGAGAGAACCACCTACTCATGTGTTGAGACCAAGATATTGCATTCCTACCAATCTTGATCTCTAGCCTTCCCCAAGTTGCTTTCCACTCAAATCTTCTTTTCACCAAATCCAAATCCTGTGAGAGAGAGTTGAGTGTTGGGGAGACTATCATTTGAAGCACAAGAGCAAGGAGTTCATCATCAACACACCATTTGTTACTTCTTGGAGAGTGGTGTCTCCTAGATTGGCTATGTGTCACTTGGGAGCCTCCGACAAGATTGTGGTGTTGAACCAAGGAGTTTGTAAGGGCAAGGAGATCGCCTACTTCGTGAAGATCTGCCGCTAGTGAGGCAAGTCCTTCGTGGGCGACGGCCATGGTGGGATAGACAAGGTTGCTTCTTCGCGGACCCTTTTTGGGCGAAGTCCTTCGTGGACTCGCGCAGTCGTTACCCTTCGTGGGTTGAAGTCTCCATCAACGTGGATGTACGATAGCACCATCTATCGGAACCACGGCTCAAAAATCACCGTGTCTCCAAATTGCGCCTGAATTCTCCAAACCCTTTCCTTTACATTCTTGCAAGTTGCATGCTTTATTTTCCGCTGCTCATATACTCTTTGCATGCTTGCTTGAATTGTGTTAAGATTGCTTGACTTGTGCTAAGTTTGCTAAAATCTGTCAAAGAATAAAACTGAGAAAAGGTTAAGTTTTTATTTGGTCAAGTAGTCTATTCACCGGCCCTCTAGACATACTTCAAGATCCTATATCCGTCAACGCACGCGTAGCCGCATGCTGCAGGCAAAAGAAGAAGTCGGCTACTCAAATATCGACAAGGTGGCGGCCAACACTTCCGTGTCGGCTGCCATCATCGAGGAGAAGTAGAACACAAGAGGCCACCGCCGCTTGGGTCCCATGAATGTCGACCCCGAGAACTGCTGGCGTACACAGCCAGTGTCTTGCACTCTTGCCGGCCACCGTCGTCCCCTTAACCAAGAACCAACTTTGGTCCGTGCAGCGTAGAGACCCTTCCCCTCCGACTGAAGCATCAGGTAGCGGTTTCACCCCGATGAGTGGTGGGGAAGCGAGCTGTCCTTTGTGTTGAAGCATATACCTCCGGGGCTCACTACTGTCAGTCATGGGGACGACGTTGAAGACCCACCGCGGCTGACAGTAGACTAGTCGAGGGTATCATGTTGTCGGTGCATATCCGCTAGCATCGGCTGTAGACTAGTCCGGCTTCGCTTTTAGTTGAAAATATGTCCAAAATGTAATTGTTTTCGTCCGCTTTGTATGAAATCCATCATGTTCATTTGAAATCCGGACGTATTTGCATGAATTTGATTCGGACTATTGTAAAAGAGTTTGTAATGTATGCAGCTAGCGTTGGATGGCGGCCTCCCACATACGTGTCCATGGATTGGGTCCCTTGTTCGTAGACGGATGCAGAAGGAAATTTGCGGGTCTCCCTTAAGCCCAACAGTAGAATGCCCCCAACAGTACACGTTGCAAAAATTGGTGTAATTAGAAGCATATTAAAGGTCGACAACAGTTGGATTTGCTACCTCTCTATTGTCGGTCGGATCGACTTCATCCAACGGTTACTCGAAGGTTTTTTTTCGAGCGTACCCAAAGTTATTCATACTCTATGTACATAGATAGATATCTCCTCAGCATTATAAAAATTTGGATCTTCTTAATGCTGCACTATAAAAGTTGAATAAAAGCGAGAGAAAACCTAAACGGCATCCCCACCAGGCCACCAGTGTGATCACGACACTGCCTCACAGTGGGACGTGCAAGTACAACGGATCCACGTCCCTATCATCGTCCACACCGCGAGGAATACCATGCCAAGGATGGGCGCCAGAAATGCCATGCATAGTCACGTCTCACTGACAAAGGCACAAGGTTTTCCCAGAGAGGAAAACACACAGGCACAACGCAGTGTAATGCCGGGAAATGACTAACCATCCGATGCGGAACGACCCACTCGCATGGAGAGCTGGGACACGGGACGGCGCGGTTGTTTTGATAGGTCCATGTCACGGTGCCGACTGATCGTCAGGTCAGCGAAGGGGAGCAAGTGGCATCATCGAGTGACACCGCGTGTCTAGTGAAGAAAACTGGAACCGGCCAATGGGCGCCATGAGGCCGCCGTATGGAGCGGGTGGGTGGCAACGCCAGTGCGTCATGGCATACGGAGGCCGGAGGCGCTCTCAGGTCCTGCCTCCGATCGACGTGGCTCGACTTTGCGCGCACGAAATGCTGCCGAGGAGACGATGCCCTCTGTCACCCAAGACGAAGACGCGGACCTGGTGCAAGGTGCAGGTGCACTGGACTGTGCCGCTTGGATGCACTTGAACTTGATCCTCTCCCCACTCCCACTCGCCAGCAGCAGCAGGACCCGGTCCGGTGGGCCGATAAATGCTCGACGTTGATCGGAGCCCCGGCTTGTTCGTTCCGAACGGGTGGCGACCGGTGGAAAGTAAAGGCGGTGGACAGGCGATGGCAGGCAGGCAGGCAGGCAGGCGTCGCCGTCAGGAACGGCCGCTTTCCCGGACAAATGGCGGGTCCATCAAGTTAGGCGGCGTCGCACGGCACGGCACGGCTCGGCGTCACCGTCCGTCCACGCCGGGTGGAGGAGGCCGAGCCGGCCATGCGTCCCATGACTCATCCCTTCCAGAAGCTACCGCACGGGCTTTTCCACGCACGCGAACGGTCCAAACACGTGCCGACCTCCCCCCGTCAGCTAAATGCACACCGCATCTAGCAACCTCAGACGGAGGCTGAGACGTCACCGGGTAACCGTATCGCCGGCCATGTCGAGCATCTCCTGCGGCCGCCGCATTAATGGGGGGCAGGCTCTGTGCTGAGTGTCAGAGGACTGGCTCGAGTGAATGAATGATGAGCCACTCAGCCAGATCAATGCCTGGCTCTGCGGCATTGGGAACACCAAAACATGGTCGAGCTGAGCAGCATTCTTATTTTTATTACATGGCCTGTGCACGTACATGAACACCACCACACTGGCCTCCTGCTCCACATACTACTACGTGATACATTTATCTACATCATCTATGCACATTTACGATCTAGTGCCATAACCATATGGGCACGGAGTTTACTACTATCATAGCAGTATATTGCAAAACTTAGTCGTCGTCATGGAGTTGCAAGTTACTTACAGTCTAACGCTACTGCTTTACCGGTGGTAACTAGCTAACTGAAGAGTCTGCAACAAACTGAAAGTCACACGCTATAGTATGTGCTCACTGCTCGTGCCCCTCGACGGCGGCACGCGGCTCGCCGTTCAGGGCGCGCAGCCATTACCTTCTCGGCTATGTCACGTGTACAGTACGCTAGAGTGTTGATCAGGGCAGGCATTGCATGTGTGCTGTCCTAGTACTCCACGATGAGGCTGCCGAACGGCGACCGGTGCGGGATGCCCTTGCGGCGCTTGTTGCCGGCGCGGTAGCTGCTGGAGGTGGCCGGCGGGGTCGACGGCGAGAAGCTCTGCACCACGCTGCTCTTGTCGCTGCTCCCGCCGCTGGTGCTCGTGCACGAGTGCTCCGAGTCCGACCGCGCCTCCTTGACCGCCGCTCTCTTCTTCTTCTTCTTGCCGCCATCGACGCCGCCGTGCTTCTTCCTCGGCCGGTGGCCGCCGGACGTGCCTACAATCTGAGGAGCATGCGGAAGATGCAGTGCTGGTTACAAACTTGCAATGCGCCAGGCCATGGCCAAAGCTTGGATTGTAAGGAGAACTGCATACATACTTTGCATCCGAGGGAGCAGAAGCGGAACGAGTCCAGCAGGCTGCGCTCGCAGACCTCGCAGGTGTTGGTGACCCCCTTGCCCGGCCTCGGCTGCGGGCGCTCGTTGAGGAACACCACGCGCGCGCTGTTGATGATGTACGTCTGCACGCCGGTGATGTCCAGCACCCTCTGTATCTCCGACACCCGGATCACGTCGTGGTACGACGACCTCCGAATCTGCTCCGCGCGCCGTTCGTGCATACGCATCATCAGTCACCACGAAAACCAGCATGAATCGATCGAGCAGGGGAGGAAGGGGGACACAGGACGCCGGCATTGGAGAATGGTCTGCTGACTGACCTGGATGGCGTGGTGGTCGCGGTGGTGGGCGAGGCAGAGCGAGCAGAGCGCGCCGTTGATGCAGTCGAGGCAGTACATGTTGCACTCGCTCTTGTGCGCGTCGGCGTGCGCCCGGCATTGCACGAAGAAGCTCGTCGCCAGCAGCGGCTTCAGCCACGGCGGCCACCGCTGGTTCTCCGCCTCCTCGTCGCGCCCCGCTCCTCCCTGCACGCCCAGCATTGCAGTTTCAGTCCGGCGCCGCCATTAGGATCAGTCGAGAACCAAGAAACATCAAGAAAATCAATTACCGTGGCGCCGCCGCTCTTGAGCGCGAGAGGGGACGCGTGGTCTATTGCCATCTTGCGCCGGCGAAACGAGAAGGAAGAATGTGGATGCAGGGGAGCAGGGGAGGGGAGAGAAATGCTTTGCAAGAAAGCGGCTCGCCGGCACAGGAGCGCGAAGGCTTTGTAGGCCGAGGTGGAGGAAAAGTAGCGCAGCGCTTGTGTCTTAGGGCATCTCCAGCCGTTGGCCCTCCAGGAGGGGCAAAAAATCGCCCCTGGAGCCGCACCGGCGCTAAACCGCGCATTGGGGGCGTGATGCCTCCTAGTCGCGGCGTCCTACGGTTAGTCAAAAAAAAAATCAAATAAGGCGAAAAACGACTCAAATTTAACGCAAACATCGGCGAGTTCGTTCAAATTTAAACATATTTTACAAAAAAAAAAACTACCGCGGGCTACCCCCGCCGTCTCCCTCGTCGCCCGCCCACGCGGTTCTACATGCCGAGGAAGCTGTAGAACCGCGTGTAGTCACCGCCGCCGTCGTCATCGTCGTCGTCGTCGCCGCCGCCTTCGCCGTCCCTGCTGCATCCCTCCCCCGGTTGGCGCGGCGGGTTGGACGGTCCGGGGGCGTCGTCGTCGTCGTCGTCGCTGTCGAGGACCACGACGTCGTGCTCGTTCTGGCGCCCACGCTTGCGGGCGGCGATCTCCTCCAGGGCCCGGCGCTGCCGGACCATCTCGTCGCGGAGGTAGTCGTCCCGCGCCCACCGCATGGCGTCCTCGTCGGAGAAGCCGCGCCGGGCTATCTCCTCGTACTCCGCGGGGAGGCCGGGCTCCGGCTTGGGCTCGACGAGGACGAAGCGGCCGGTGGGTGGAGAGGCGTTGACGCCGATGCGGACGCCGGAGCTGCGGGTGCGCGTGCTGACCGGCGTGTCCTGGGGCTTCGACTTGACGGGACAGAGGCAGGGCGAGCCGCTGGACGAGGAGGAGGACCCCCCGGTCTCCATGCGCCTCGGGGTCCAGGAGCTTCCCCGGCGGCGTGAGAAGGAAGGGGGGTCGGGGTACTCGAGGCGCGGCGTGTTGCCGCCCTCGATGTACTCGAGGACGGCCTCCAACGTGCGCCCGGGCACGCCCCACCACCGACGCCGGCCGGCGGCGTTGAGCCTGCCGGAGGGCACGACGCCGTTGGTGGCCTCGAGCTGCTGGGCGTGACGGCGGCGGAAGTAAGGTTCCCAGAGAGGGCTGTCGGGGACGTACCGTGGCCCCTCCCTCGCTGCACGCGGCAGGTTCGAGCGGATGCGTGCGATCTCCGCACGCCGCGCCGCATCGGTGGGTACCGGGGGCACCGGCACGCCGCCCGCGCTGATCCTCCACGCCCTGGGCACCCGCATGTCCGGCGGGACCGGGTACTCGCTTGGCAGCTTTGGCATTGATTCGCCGCGGAAAACGAGGCGATGAGAACGACGAAGGGCCGAGAAGAGAGCCGTGTCGCTGACGCGGAGGGCCCGCGGCTTTTTCGCGCCAAAACAGTTCGCCCGGCGCCCCCGGGCGCCCCCCAGCGCGCCGGGTTCGGGCTGGATCCGTCGGCGCTGTTTTCGGCCCAAGCCGGCGAAAATCGGGCTCCTGGGAGCGCGATTGGGCCGTTTTTTCAGCGCCGGCGCGAAAAAAACGTCCGGAAAGGCCTTCATGGGGGCGCGGCTGGAGATGCCCTTATGGAATGGAAAGTGAAAAAAAGGGTGGAGGAAGACTCGGCGGGTACTTGACAGTGAGCTCTCGGGCCCGTTCTTATCGACTCGTCGCGGGCCCGGGCCGTCCCGCGAGTCGCGACCCGGCAAGCACACGAATGACCGACCGTTCGAATCGCAAATTGCAAATCATATATGGTACAAACAAGCTCTGAAATCCCAGCAAAGAGGTGCATTTTGTTCCTGAACCTGTCGGCGTCACGGTTCCGGTTCGGGCTGCCTCGCGTGATCCGGCGGGAAATTGTGATCAATCCTCTCTAAACTGGGAGCGCACACTTCTTTTTGCGAGTGCTAAGCAAAGGCACACAGCTGCTTTTTTTCGGGACGTAGAAAGACGTGGTACTCCGTCCATTGCCACTGCACTAGTAAGTGCCACACTGCCACTGCACTCCCTCCGTTCAGTAGCTGCATTTAGCTGTATTTTCGGCTCCGCGTCGATGCTTCTCTGGGAGATAAGATTCCATTGCATTTGCCCAACACTCGCCTTTCTCGGCTCCCAAATAGGCGGTGCAAAACAGCGAAAGCCCACGTTTTCCCAGCTCTCAAAAGTGAAGAAAGAAAAATGGCACAAAAGTTACCACTAACGACGCCATTGCTGCACCTAATGCGTCGCCCATTGGCCAGCCCCGCACCATTTCTTCCCAAGCAAGTGGGTCGACAGGGATCGGATGCATCCTCAGTCACCCGTGCATGCGTGTACCGCCATATATACCTAGCATATCTCTTGGATGCTCGCCCGCGTTCTGGAAGCAAGCATGGCCTCGCCTTTAATTTCTCTAGTGGCCGAACGGTCGTGTCTCGGGCTCGGCCGGCGATGATGGAACCGCCCATGCCCGCCCGCCCGCCCGGATTTCTCGATCGAGCGGTCCGTTCCGTGCCGTGCTCTGCCGTCACCGATTCGGCAAGCTGATGCTACCGGTGCACGGCGGTTCGGTCACCCACCCCTGCTCCTGATTGGTGGTTTGGTGCTGTGTGCGCACTGATCTGTGCCGTCGAGGCTTAAATGGTTAGGTTGCTTGGGCACGCGCTTTTGTTCAATGTGCTGTTGCGCGTACTGCCTGTTCCTGTGCTTCTACCATCGCAAGATTCATGTGCCAGCTCGTAGGCTAGATATTTACTCGGTGCAAGATATCGTGAGCGATCGCTGTCAGGTCACATGAAAAAGCTCTGAATACACCGTATAGATTAGTCCCGCAGCGGTTATACGTCCGCATCGTCTCCTTGGAGCCGCTCGTAATCTCTTGGTCGATGGCGACGAAGAATCACGGTTTACGTATTATTTATATATACAGAGTGATCAACGAGCCAACTTGCTAAACCGTGGGCCCGCCTAATCGCGGAGCCGAGCAGGTATGCGTTGACAACTTGACATGTCGGAGTAGCTTTAATTTGTTCCGCCCTCCGATCGAGCTTTTCGTTCGAGTCGAGTCCATTCTGCTGAGTTGTATCGAGTTTCGTAGGCGTGGACGGATTGGCGTTGCGTGAAGCATCACGGCGCATATATGATGCATGGCCGAATTCCTGATTGAGTTTTATGTGCTCTGGCAGTCCCCCGCCCGACGGCTCTGAGCTGTTACAGTAGTAGCACGTCCAAAGAAATCGCGCGTAGTCTAGCCCAATGTGCCAATAATTTGGCTCCGATTTTTTGACCTGATGATGGACTTTGATCTGGAAAGTAATCTTGTTCAGGTGACTGAATGAACTGAGCGCAATTTCCCCTGAACTTGTTGCCTGTTCGTGTTGCAGCATTTCTGTTAGAGTTGGGTCGAATATTGTGTATACGGTAGGTTACAGTTGGACTCTGAGTAGTATTGTGTTTAGATAGAATATGGAGTCGTGTCCTAGTAGGACATTTGTATCCTAGGCCTCTCTTATATAGCGGGGTAGACACACGATGTAACCTATGCCAACATAATAGCACAGGCGCGCAAGGGGGAGCCGGCGGCATGTGCCGGCGCCCGGGTGGCCGGTGTGCGGTATTGTGACGGTGTCATGGGGAGGAGCGCCCATAGTCAGGCCCCGGGGATGTAGCCATATCGGTGAACCTCGTTAACAAATCTCGGTGTCGTGCCTCGTGTGATTGCTTGATCCTCGGATGATCGACGGTATGCCTCGGATTTATTCTAACAAGTGGTATCATGAGCTAGGTTGTTCGGAGGCCGTGTATTGTTGATCCAGAGAAAGTATCGAGTTTGAGATGCAGCCGGTTGCGGTGTGGTTCTCGACAAGATTGAAAAAAGTAATCAAAGGCAGAAGCATTGACGGAAGCGCATGTGCTTAAGACGTGCGGCGATTGATTAGTGGATCGATCGGGCGAGCGTAGGCGTGTTTTTCAGCGAAATTCCCGGCGAGGTTGGATTGAGCAGGGACGTGTCGTGGTGTTTCAGATTGATTCGATCTTGGCGATGTCGGTCTGTTTGTCAAACATGGACACAAGGCGGCCCAATCCGAGGCGCGTACGGGGTGGCAGCATCATGTAGCAGCGGTGGCCTGGCGCGCGTGAGGTGGCAACCCAAAGTTTGGCGTGTGTGTGCACTAAAGGGCACGTGGTTGGCGGATGCATGGGCTGTACGAGGCAGCGTCGCGTTGGAAGCCCCCTGGAGTTGCACTAGCGGCTGCTTGGAGCTGAGTCGTGGCAAGAGCACACGGAAGGTTGCAACGTGTTAAGTGAGATTTGTTTGACAAAAAGCAAGGCTAGCAACCAAGACTACGTGTGTGTACAGGAGCAGTTTTGGTTGGATCAAGTTCGATCTATTTTCTGCTATAGGATGCACGGAGAAGCAACAACAAACAGTGACATGAAAAAAGAAAGTTTTTTCTGAGTCGGTTTGCTGAGATGGCTTGGAACATGTGGATAGGCTGCGGAGGCGCGCGGACAAGCGTGTCATGAGGATCATGCAAACACAGGGCGTCCAAGACATGCACGGATGTGCAAGCGGTCGTGATGCAGGGTGGAGCATGATTATAGCCGGACATGTTCGGCTAGGTCGGACACGGATCGACGTAAGTCGGTTGGTACAGAAGACGATGATGGGATCGGCGAAGACGACATAGGAGTGTGATGCCGATGGTGACCAACTTCTGGGCGTGGAAACACGTGGCACAGGCCCGAGGCTTGTGTGGCTTCGACGAGACTATGGCGCGGGGTTGACTCAAGATGGTGTACACACGGAGCTTGAAGTCGACGGGGCGCGGGGTGGCACGTACAACCACCATGGAGTCATGTTGAAGGTGGAGCTGGATTGAGGGGCTACGATGTAAGGATCCAAGGAATCAAAACCTATTCAGCAAAAGGCGGGAAAAAGCGAGTGACATGCAGTTCGGACTGGAGCCCAGTGG